CTGCAAAACACTGCAGTAAGCACCATGACGTATAGCAGTTTTGTAGACTTGATTTGTACCTTTCCTCTTGTATCTTTCTGTCGCTATTTATTTATTTATTTTTAGAGAGAGCATGGGGGAGGGACAAAGAGAGAGAGGGAAGGAGAGAACCCCAAGCAGGCTCTGTGCTATCAGGCCAACATGGGGCTCAGTCCTACCAACCATGAGGTCATGACCTGAGGCAAAGTCAAGAGTCAGACACTCAACCAACTAAGCCACCTAGGCAACCCTCTTTCTGTGGTCTTTTAAACCTAATTTAATTTTTGTTAGTTTGTTTATGCTTCAGCTATGACAACCTCTTAAATCCCTTGACCATTTAATTGCCCTTTTTGTCTCCTACAACTTTGTGCCGGTACTAAGATGTTGCAGATAGAACGTCACTCAGTTTTTGGAATACTTCATACTTGTGCACAAAAGCCACCTAATAGTTTATGTTTAATTTTCAATACTTAGTTTTGCTTGTTAGCCTAAAGTTAGCACAGCAGCCCCCTGGTTTGCTGTTTTAAGGAAGTAGTTTACTGCATCTCTAAACATTGGATACTATCTAAAGCTTTAGTTTATTGATATTGTAAAATGGGGATAATAACTCCCTTATCTTCCAGGGCACCTGGGTGGCTCAGTTGGTTGGGAATCCTGCTTTTGATTCTGGCTCAGGTCAGGATCTTACAGTCATTAGTTCAAGCTCCACATCGAGCTCTGCTGACAGAATGGAGTCTCCTTGGGATTCTCTGTTTCCCTCTCTCTCTATTCCTCCCTGATCACTCTTGAGTGCTCCTGCTTGTGCGCACACTCTCTCTCACTCTCGCTCTCCTAAAAACAAACAAAATAACTCCCTGATGTACCTCAAAAGATAACCTTGGTTTAAACACTTGAAGTTGTGTTAATTGAAGTCCTTTATAAACTCTTATATGGAATAGTTCTTATTTGTGTGTTTGTAACTGAGCTCAGATCCTATCATATTTGAAATACAATTTAACTATTTTCCCAAAATCTTTCCATTCTAAAAATAATCCTTTCCATAAGTATAGCAACAAAAATTATTTTCTTTTTTTTAATGTTCAGTTATTTTGAGAGAAAGCCAGTGTGGGGAGGGGCAGAGAGAGAGAGAGAACTCCAAGTAGGCTTCACATTGTCAGCACAGAACCTGACTCAAGGCTCAAACCCTGAGATCATGACCTGAGCCCAATCAAGAGCTGGAAGCTTAACCAACTGAGCCACCCAGGCACCCCTAAAAATCATTTTCTACTTGAATAGGTATAAGGTAAATTTCTAAAGTATAAATTATATCCTATGTTTCCTTTTTATTCCACTCTTAGAGGACTATGTTACAACAGTTGATTATTCCTTTTTCCTACTAAGTTATGTACTTGAATTTCCAGTGATTTTTGTCTTTGATTTTATCCTAGCTGTTTTCTCAATATAAAGGTCAAGACTACCTAGTTTATAATCCCATTTAAAACATTGTTTTTGTTAACATCTTTGTTGTTTCAATGAAACCAATATGTAGTCACTGTATCCCTTATTTAAAAAAAAATTTAAAGGTAAGAGTAAATTACTTGACATTCCATTGTTCTGCTAGTACTCTGCCAACCACTTACAACATTTTAGTGAATATCCTTCTAGATATCTCTATGCATTTATGCCCGTGCAAATATGTATTCAATTTAAAATAATTGCAATCGGAATACATCTTCTTTTGTAATGTACTTTTTTTCACTCAACAACATGTGGCAGACATTTTTCCTGTCAACAAATGAAAATATGTCATTAGGGGCATCTGGGTGGCTCATTTGGTTAAGCATCCGATCTCACGGTTCATGGGTTCAAGCCCCGCATCAGGCTATGTGCTGATAGCTAGTTCAGAACCTGAAGCCTGTTTCAGATTCTGTATCTCACTCTCTCTCTGACCCTCCCCTGCTCATGCTGTCTCTCTCTCTTTCAGAAATAAATAAAACATTAAAAATTTTTTAGAAAATCGGGGTGCCTGGGTGGCTTAGTCGGTTAAGCGTCCGGCTTTCGCTTAGGTCATGATCTTGCGGTTCGTGGGTTCGAGCCCTGCGTCGGGCTCTGTGCTGACTGCCAGCTCAGAGCCTGGAGCCTGTTTCAGTCTGTGACTCCCTCTCTCTCTGACCCTCCCCTGCTCACGCTGTCTCTCTCTCTCCTAGAAATAAATAAAAAATATTTTAAAAAAATTTTTTTTAGAAAATGTGTCATTAACGGCTAGCCCAGTATCAGATTCCTATTGTCATAGCTGGGAATCTTGATGGCAGTCCACCAATCTAATGAGCACCAGTTTTCTTATTTTGAATAGTATCAAAACATAATTTATGGATTCCTTCAGAAATCTTGGGTATATGCCTTCTGATCCCAATAATATGTATTCCTAGGCAATTGTATCTGCTATCTATCACACTAATGATTTGGGCAGTGCAATTGTAGATGGGATTGAAATGACAACCTAAGGAATCATTCATTAATCTTTTATTTTTCAGAAGATCAATACTATCTTCTCCACCCACCCCCTTGAAGTGAATTAAGAATGGTGACCTTTATAATGTCAGCCACTAGGTGTTTAGTCTTAGGCAAACTATTTAACTTCAGCAGACATCAGTTTTTTTTCTTTATGATCTTTATGATGAAACAGGTCACCGGTTTCTGAATCGCTGATGTTTTTAACATCTTTTCCCCCATGACAACTAATTGTACTAATTTCTATTATTTTTTTAAGTTTAGTTAATTACTTTGAGAAAATGAGAGAGAGAGCAAGGGAGAGGGGCAGAGATAGAGGGACAGAGAGAATCCCAAGTGGAAATTAAGAGTCAGGTGCTTAACCATTCCATTCTTGATTTAAATAATGTCTTATTAACTTTGGTGTTTCTTGTAAATTTGACTCCTTCATCCTGAAAGATATCTCTGGTCATATTGGTGCAATTTTTTTTAAAAAGAGGCTTTTTTCTATTATTGTTTGCCTGTTCTTCAATTAATTTCAATTTTCTTGGGCCTCCAATGAGGTATATGTGGTCCTGCTTGGTTACTTATTTTGATAATTCTGTGTACTTTTCCTAAATTTGTTGGTAATATTTTAGAGAAAAATATTTTTACTTCTGACATAATGTTTTACTTATATAGGATACTTTTAATGCTTTCATTTTACTTCATTAGATCCTCAAAATGCCCCTGCAAAGTTAGGTACTACTATCCTCATTTTACAGATGTAGAAACTGAGGCTTCAACTAAATAATATGCCCAAAGTCACTCAGCTATGCCCAAAGTCACTCAGCTTGCAAATGGTATATCTATGTATATGGGTTTTAACTCCAGAGCTCTAGCTACTAAGCCATAGGTGCCTTTATATTTGAAGGTTAAATATTCTTAGTTACATATTTTTTTCCAGAAAATATTTATCATATACATGGGTCTATACTCATCAAAAATCATAGTCATCGAATTTAGAAAAGTTGCTATCAGGTGAGATATATACAAATATATATATGCAATCAGTACATATCCTCTGTAGGATAGAATTTAACAGCCCTAAATAGATATTTTCCTTAATTCTTAACAAGGCAGTATTTTTCATCTCATGAGTTTCTTTAAAATGTTTTATATAAACAAACAAATATTATGGGAAGGAAGTGGCAGAAAGAGAGGGAGACAGCGAATCCTAGGCAGGCTCCATACTGTTAGTGTGGAGCCTGACGTGTGGCCCAAACGCATGAAACCTGGAGATCATGACCTAAGCCAAAGCCAAGAGTCAGAAGCTCAACTGACTGAGCCACTCAGGGGCCCCTAAAAATGTTTTAATTTAAAAAGTGTGGTTATATTTGGAAAATTTTTATACTTTTTTTTCTTCCATAAAGGCTTTATCACATCTCTGCATATTTTGATATTAGATCCAGAAATAGACTAGTGAAGTGGTAAATTGATGCAAAAATCTTTTTTTCAGCTACTTTAAAAAAATTAACAAAGGCCCCCTGTTTTCTAGAACTTTTTTTTTTTATTATCTTCTAAATTTGAAAGAGGACTTCAACTATCTCCATTTTGACCTCAAACTTTCTAGTTGATTAAGTTCTTCTTTCCGGTTTATCTCTTAACTGGGGCAAAAGACCTTGCCGGCAAAAGCATCCTGGTGATGGAAACTGGAACCACCTCCCTCAAGCAATTAGGACCGTCCTGAGCCAGCTAGACCCCACCCAGGATGGACTCTAAGACTGTGTCAACTTGACCTTCACTGCCCTTCTGCATGAGGCCACCAAAATGTGTCCCACATTTTCCTTACATAAACCTGGAATTATGGGTGGAAGAACTACTGGGCCTTCTGGAATTGAGTTTCCTGTCTTTTTAAAAAAGACTTTTAAGTAATAACCTATAACCTTGTCAACATTTTTTTATTCTGAATAGACTTGCAAGTCAACAAATATTTCTTGACTGCCTATCCTGTATAAGGCATGGGGATTGCATTTTCAGTGAAATGAGAGAGGAGTCTGTCCCTCAGATATTTGACTGATAAACTAGTATGTCTTATGTAAGTGTGACAATAGGGAAAGCTCAATCTTGGCCAGATAAATGGGTGAGTTTATTATGTGTTTTAGCAAGCTTTAACTCCTCCATTGGTAACAGTTCTTTGTACTTCCTAGAGTAGGGGCTAAGATGTGTCCTGGAAACTTTCCTTTTTTGATGCGTATTTTCTAATTATGTCAGGCCTTCCTGAAGGCTATCTTTGAATAGCCTTTTCTGTCCGTGTGATGGCAAAGGCGCTGGCAAGGTTTTCAAGTTTTCGCCTGTTTGGAGCTTTTCTGAAGTGCTGTGGGTTCTACCACAGAGCAGAGCTAGGTGACAAAGGCTCACTACCGGACCTCAGCAGGCTCCTAACCAGCAGCCGGAACGCGCCTGCGTACCGCAGCCCCTTTGTTGCTCAGGCGCTGGGGTCCGGCTGCGCCTGCGTGGAGGGCTGGCGCCGGCAAGTGTGTTGCACCGCTGGCACCGGCTGGGGGCGAGCAGACTTCGAGCCGCTGCCGCCGCCGCCGCCGCCGCCGTTGCGACCGCCGCAGCGGAGTTCAGAGGGCCCGGAGGTGGGGGACTTCCAACACGGTGGCTGAAATGTCGTCCACCGCGGCTTTTTACCTTCTCTCGACCCTGGGAGGGTACTTGGTGACCTCATTCTTGTTGCTCAAATACCCGACCTTGCTGCACCCGAGAAAGAAGCAGCGATTCCTCAGTAAACACATCTCTCACCGCGGAGGTGAGAGGGGTCCCCAGATCCCGATGGCGGAGGTGGGGGAGGCTTTTTTCCCCACTAGAGCTTAGGGTCCTTTGAAGCCCCGCAAAAGGCAGGGGGGTGGAAATAACGTGAGAGTTTGAGGAAGAATGGAGTGTGCGAAAAGAGGGCTTTCTGTAGGTGAAGGCGATGTGACGGGGAGGTCTCCTGAGGGAAGGTAAGGGGTCTTTAGATAAGAGAGCCAAGGTGGGGAATTTCTCGAGTGCAGCAGCGTCAGGGGTTCTCTGAAGGAGGAAGGACTCGGGTGAGAATTAAGGGTAAATGGAGCGTTTCTCGGCGGATGGAAGGATGATCGCAAGGTCCCTTCCTCGCAGCGAGGCACCAGGAGGGTGGGGGGAGCGCCGGGCAGAGCCAGGGGTACCCAGACGGGGCACCTGAACCGACTGCTCCGAGCAGAGCCAGTGGCTGATCCGGGGCGACATGCTTCAAAATTTGAGGAACTGCGTAAACCTGGAGCGTGCTGCAGCCGGTTGTCTGCAGTCCCTGGGGCTGGTCCCACCCCTACCCCCCTCTCTGAGCACTGATAATTAAGAAGAGAGGGAAACCGAGTCACTGACCGGGGGACACTTCCCAAGGTCACAATTCGAGCTTGGGCTGGATTGGGACAGAAACTGGAGCGTCCTGGTTCCCAACGCTGCAAGCCTTACACCTGTTTTTGTGTGTGTGTGTGTGTTTTTTAAGCCCCACCCTGCACCTCAGCAATGACACCTGGATTTCCTAAAGAGGAAAAGATGATGTAGTTTATGATAGGACTGTATTTGTTTAAAGAAAAAGAAGTTGCTTCTTGGAAAAGTATCTTACAAAGGAGCCTAGATAGTCCACCGTATAGTTTACCGAACAGCAGGCCAAGTCTTTGCTTTTTCATTATTGCAGAATAATGTGTCTTTATTTTATTTCAAGATGATGTGTAAAATGTTGTGAAACTGGATTAAGTAAAGTAATTTTAATTGTTTAGAGCTGAATGTTAAACTAGGTTAAAATGGCTTGGAATTTACAGTCTAATACTTGAAATGGTAAATTCTAGGAGTTTACAGTCTAAAACTTGATTTAGTACCATACCTTTTCTAACAAGAATTGGCCAGGAATACAGTTTTAAATATCACAGAAATGCATTAGCATTCTTGTGTATAATCTGTACAATTTTATTTTAAAAACAGTCCTAAAGAATGACTTCAATAGTATGCTAGTCTCCTTACTCATGAAAAGCATCAAAGGTTTTAAGGAGTCACCAGTGAAATGCCATGTTATTGCTTATTTGGTTTATCAGTGTGGTTTAAAAAATTCTTCTTTATGTTTTATTTTATTTTTGAGAGAGAGAGAGTGCGCAGCAGGGAAGGGACAGAGAGGGAGACACAGAATCCAAAGGCAGGCTCCCAGCTCCAGGCTCTGAGCTAGCAGGCAGCATAGAGTCCAATGTGGGGCTCAAACTCACTACCTCGAGATCATGCCCTGAGCCAAAGTTGGATGCTTAACCAACTGAGCCGCCCAGGCACCCTGGTTTATCTGTGTTTTAATTAGATACATAGTTAAACTGTAGGAGGACATGACTACTAATGTCCCTTCAATCATTAAAACCCCAAACCAACTTTTAGTGTTTAAATTGTTGCTGTAGAAGCAATTTTCAAAGGTAGTAGTCCTTTTATTTTAGAGATAGGCAGTACATGTACTACAGTTGTGTTTACTGATAATTTTTTTAAATAGTTGCTTGTTTTATTTTCAGTTTGTTTTTGTATGTATGTATGTATGTAATTTCTACACTCGGCGTGGGGCCTGAACTCATGATGGCAAGATCAAGAGTTGCATCCTCTTCTGACTGAGCCAGACAGGTGCCCCATGTTTACTGATTGAAAAAAAAAGAAAAATGTGCTTACTAAACGCCCAAACCAAAAACAAAACTAGACCCTCTAAAAAGCTATCTAAACTGTCATTATGGATGGTCTAAATTTTATTTTAGAATAAATACATGTTAATCTTTGAATTTTTGTTGACACTCTACAGATGAAAAAATCAGTACTCTATTGAGGTTAAAATGTGCTGGATCAACAAAACCAGTATCAAAACCAGGATAAGCTGGATCTCCAATGCTCATTTACTGTTGGAAATACTTTAAAAATATTTTTCTCAAGATACTAAGTCATTTCAGTTGTTTTAATTTCACCCTTATGTAAGATTTTCCATTTATTATTTGTAAATATGGCATCATGAGTATTTGTAATTTCTGAGACTGTCATGAGAATCTTGACATAGCTGAAACTGTCATGGGAATCTTGTTAAATACCTACAGACTTTAATCTGTTTCCTTATATGATAGTTCTAACACAATGTAGTAAGTTCCTGTGTTCTTAGTGTGTAATATACTTTTGTTGAGTATGTGCACCAATTAATACAATTGAATCCAGAGTGAATAGAGGAGATATTTACTAAAAAATACTTTGTAACTCAAGATACTAAATTTCTGGAAAGTAATAGATAAGGGAGGAGTCACCTCCTTCCTTACTCTGAATTTTTGTCTTGGACACTGCTAACAGCTATCACTAGTCTCCCTGTACATATTACTAACATTTGGGCTAATTCTCTATTGCCCTGACTTCAGATGCCTGATACTTCATGTAAACCAGATATATGACCGTTCCAAGATTGAAACATTGATCAAGGAGCGCCTGGGTGGCACAGTCGGTTAAGCATCTGACTCTTGGTTTCAGCTCCAGTCGTGATTTCATGGCTAATGAGTTCCAGCCCCACATCAGTCTCTGCACTGACGGTTTGGAGCCTGCTTGGGATCCCTCTCTCTCCCATTCTCTCTACCCCTCCCCCCACTCGTTCTCTCTCTCTCTCTCAAGTTAAAAAAAAAATTGATCAAATTATGTGTACAAAGTCTATACACCATAATTGCCATACCCTGAAACCCTTAATGTGTACTATATTATGTTTGCTGTAAAAGCGTTATCACCTGGGTCAGATTCTGGACCTACCACTAGTTAGCTTTGGGAAGAAGACTTCGTTTCCTTGTTTATAAATTGGGACTGTTTGCTTTGCTTCTTTTTAGGTTGTTATGAAGATTAGGTATATAAAATGCACTTGGGGAGCCTGGGTGTCTCAGTTGGTTAAGCAGCCGGCTTTTGATTTCGGCTCAAATCATGATCTCATGGTCGGTGAGTTCGAGTTCTGCATCAGGCATTGTGCTGATGATGCAGAGCCTGCTTGGGATCCTCTCTCTCCCTCTCTCTCTAACCTGCCCTCTCTCTCTCTCAGAAGTAAATAAATAAACTTAAAAAAATTAAAAATAAATCAAATGCACTTTGAAAACTGTGAAATTGTTTAGAAACACCAGTATGGATATAGGAGATCCACATATGTATTTTGCAGTAGATCTTTGAATTGATTGAGAAGGAATAAGCTCACCCTATACTTATGTTTTCAAAGTTTTAATGAACATATTGCCTTTTATTAAGATTGATTGTCCTTGAAAGAAGAAATGAAGGTTTCAAAAATTAAATGCCCTAGGCTTATTTTGTTCTTGCCTCTTTAAAGCATACACTGTATCCTATTATATTATAATAGGAAATGTTAATACATCTGGTTTCTTTTCTAGACTGAGTTCCTCAAGGGCAGGTTTCAGATTTTATTAATGCTTCTGTCTCTCACTTCTAGCACAGGTCCTAACATAATTAAAATAATAGCTTATTGTTTGCTAATTATCTACTGCATGTTAGATCCCTCCCATGTGTTTACTAAATATTTTGACCAAAGAACATCTTTTATAAGTACAATGTATTGGTGAAACACCAATAGGATCAAAGATATACCCTTTGGATTAAATGGAGAGCAAGCAGTAGTTTCAAAGTTCATTTTCTTAATTTCTCCATTAAAGTATGAATTTTATTAATGTTCTTTGCAATTGCATAAGTAACTCATGTTCATTGTAGAATATTGGGAAAATTTAGAAATTAAAAAAAGAAAAAATAGTTCCGCAGACTTTACTATCATAACACAATCTCTGTTAGCATTTTGAAGTATATCCCTTTAAATACATATTTTCTGAATCATAATGTATGTACATTTATTTCAGATGCCAACTGAGTTGGCTAGAGACACGATTGTAGGGAAATAGGGAAATAACTTACTTGAATACCCCTTAATTTATCTCTGTGAGCCAATTGAATTAAGCAACAGGCTTTTTTTTAAAAAAAAAATTTAATGTTGGGGCGCCTGGGCGGCTTAGTCGGTGAAGCGTCCGACTTTCGCTTAGGTCATGATCTCGCGGTTCGTGGGTTCGAGCCCCGCGTCGGGCTCTGTGCTGACTGCCAGCTCAGAGTCTGGAGCCTATTTCAGAATCTGTATCTCCCTCTCTCTCTGACCCTCCCCTGCTCACGCTGTCTCTCTCGCTCTCCTAGAAATAAATAAAAATATTAAAAAAAAAATTTTAATGTTGATTTACTTTTGAGAGAGTGCGCTTGCGCGAGCGACTGGGGGAGGGGCAGAGAGAGAGGGAGACCCAGAATCCAAAGCAGGCTCCAGGCTCTGAGCTTTCAGCACAGAGCCCGTGGCAGGGCTTGAACTCACAGACTGCAAGATCATGATCTGAGCCAAGTTGGTGCTCAACCGACTGAGCCACCCAGGTGCCCAATAATTTTTCTATAATATTTTTTATATTTAACTTTTCTAAATCTGAATACAATTTAAGAAATATATATATCTTTCAGCCATTGCCGAAAATAAGTGCATTTTAGTTTGCTTTGTTAAACAGGAACGTACTATTAAATAAATGATAAATGACTCCATTAATAATAAGGCATCAGTAGAAATAAGTGAACAAGTTGAGTAAATGAATAAGAAAAAAGTTCTTGTTGAAAGGGCACCTGGCTGGTTCAGTTATAACATGTGACTCTTGATCTCCTGATTGTGAATTCAAGCCCCATGTTGAGTGTAGATTACTTAAAAAAATAAACTTCAAAAAAAAGTCC